AAAACTTTTGGAAAAAATAACTAGATATACATCTACAAATTATGAACTTTTAGTGATTCTAAATTTAGGTGGTTTCCACGGCCAGCTAAACCCATTAAACACAAAAATATCTGCAACTCGTTGAATTTTGCAGATGATAAGGTAAAAATTAGCGTGGTACTAACTAAGTCTCAACCTCAACACAAATGTTGAACTCTACACTTTTCCCAAGACTTTTGTTCACAATTTTAGCACAAGATATTGGATTTAACTGTTTTGTCTGGTAGTAAAATCCTTTATGAATCACCTTCATGTACTGAAATTCTCAAAAAGTAATCATTGTATGAACATTTGAATACCATCTAATGTATTGATTACCTTTTGGAGGCAACCCAAATCCATATAACATATTTAATTGGCTTTAGCCAATGCAACTATGACAACATTTAAGTCATTTAATTTATAACTTACAAAAAAATGGTGCAAAAAAGTATCCAAAGGTAGCAGATGTTATGTTAAGGAATATAGGTCTTTAAATTATTTAAATTGTTTATTGTTAAAATTATTCATTAAGTCCAATTTTAAGTATTCTGTCTTATTTGTCACATCTAGTGTATTGAAACTGGAAAAAACAGTAAAGATTACATCAGTTCCAGGTGTATTCTGGTTTTGGTATGGGCCCATCCAAGAAGTTGGCCATGGAAAGCAATATTCTTGGTCAACAGTTTGTTAACATTGTTATTGTCAACACATCAGGACTGGTGTCTAAATCAGAGCACTGCTGCAAATTCTCAAAGCAATTTGGCATTAGTGGTCTTGTGCTTACTTTTATTGCCAGTTCCACCTGACAGAAGGACACATTTCCAAAAGCAAAACACTCAAAACTTGTCCAAACAAATCAAAACTATCTTCAAAAGCAAGAAGAAATTGTAGTTTTTATTTTCCTCTCCTTTTCATAAATGGTCCCTTCATAATGTGCAAATTACAGAAATAAGTGCTTCACAGAACAATCCAGACCTCGTCACTAGGCCAATCAGGTGCCATTGTTACACACACCCATACTACTGGTACATTTGGACAATATCAGCTTAAAAAATATTACTGGAATTCTTGTATTAAAATAAAGACATTAAAAACTATAATAAAAAAATCCACTTGCAATTTTCTAAATGATAAAAGAGGACAATATTTGCCTTAAACCTTGCATGGCGAGAAATAAATCAGTTGTAGCTGTCTGTCAAATGATTATTTTTTGATCGTTTCATTGAAATCTGACAAGTGGTTCATGAGATATTTTAGATATTTTGCACATAGACAGACAGTTTTGACTTCAACATTTAAGCAAAGGATGTGCTATCTCATTGGTAAGAAAAAAAAAATCACAAAATTTGAAAAAAAAAGAGGCTAAATTCAGATATATTTGAGTCTGGTTCAAGATGCCTACAATAACTTAGTGACCAATTTAAGAGAAAAGTTGTTGCTATTTTTTTTAACCATTTTCAAAACTGAAATAACTGGGCTGCACAGCTGTGATACTCATGGGAAAAAAATAAATAAATCAAATCCCAACATTAATACCCTTTGCCAGCTACTGCCAGCCCAATGAGACATCCTCTTTAGCACTCAGCGCATGTATTGTGGATGATGCTCAGCTCCTAACACTATATTTTAGCTTAACATTTCTAATACTGACCAAGGTATAGACATTTTGATGTTTTCTCATTTCAGTTGTTTGTGGTGGTCATCTTCAACTGGATTGACTTAAAAGGCTCATTAGTTGTAGATCTATATATAGATGTTTTTTGAAAGGTTTACTAAAATCCCATCTAAAAGTCCATAAGTCCATTTTGGTAACCGGCAAGCACACATAAATAAACATGGGTGACAATACAATAAAGTATGATTCATGCAGTGGTAGAGAAATTAAGCTGCATATCATCAGTTCAACTATCATCCATTTAACATGAATTTAGTTCACGTTTTTTATTGTGTACCATGCAAAAGTCAGCATACTGTTTTTCACCTTTTAATGATAAGCTTCTGCACAGTATGACTATTGTTCGTAACTGTTGGTCTAATTGGAGGTTGTGCTCTATATCCCATATTTTATAAGCTTCCGGATAACTTAGTAATTCCAGATATGTGAAAACACATAAAAATGCAACACACTACAAACCCGTTTCACAGTGTGTAAGGTGTTATCAGTGTGGGTAAACACTTGCCTGTGTGGAATTTATTGGTTACAACAAGAATGTAGGAGCTCATCACTCTCCAGCACGGTGGTGATTATCTGCTTTACAAGGACACTGGCACATTTCACCAAGACCTGCTACAAGCTGTGTTAGCTACCGTCTGCAGTTCCATGAAAGAGCACTAAAATGTTCCCACAGTAAAACAGACTGACAAACATGGAAATACCAAAAAAGTTGGAATGATAAATAAAAGTGTACCCCAGCTGTAATGGTCAGCAGCCCCGCTGAACCCCCATTGGCCCCTGTCTCACACTCACTCCCTCCTGCTATTGTTTCAGCCCCTCATGCCATAGTTACTCTTCCCCTGTGTTGTAATGCCTATCACCCATCTCCAGCTCAAGCCTACTCCTTCCAAGCCAGGCCACGCCTCCCTTGTTTATCACAGCAATCTGCCCTGATTCCACTCACCTGCTTCAGCTCATCTAGTTCACCTGCTCTACACCCTTTATAAGCTCCATTCTCCCGCTCCACCAGTACCGAATTATTAAACCTCCCATGGTCCCTGATAGTGAAGCCTTCAATCAGTATCTTGTTCCATAGTTTTGTATCCTTGCCTTGTCTTGCCTTGAACCCTCACCTGTTTTTTGACTCCTCACCTTGCCCCTTTCTGGATTTGTCTGCATATCGGACCACGGTAACAACTCTTGCTCTCCCTTTGACTACTGTTTTGGATCACGACTCGGCCCTGTTCTTGCTTCTCTGCTTCAACGTGCTTGACCCCTGCTACGACCATCGGACCACGCCTCTGGATTTCACCTGCCATGTACAGGCTGAGAAGATTGGACTCCTGACTCCAGCAACCAGCAGACTAGTTAATAAAAAAACTGTTCTTGTTTTTGGACTCCTGTGTCTGGCTTATTAAGAATCCAAAAACCCGTTCTTGACACCAGCCCTTTAAAGTCTCAATGCATTTTTCTATTTGAAAAGATCCACTAATAATTAAGAACCATACTGTAAAGATTATTTCTGTTTTAAATGCACAAGTTCTAGCCCCGCCCCAAAATTTAGTTCTGCAGAAGCACCAACTCTATACTGGGCTACAGTAAAACATATTTTCAAAAGGGTCTTAGAGCTGGGTTATGGGAACCAACAGCTTAAACATAGTGTAACATTCATTAAATCGGAGTACAGTTGTGGCTATCTTGGCAGTGGAACAAAATAAATTAACCCATAGTCTTTTTGTGTTTTTGTTTGAACCAGTAAAAAACTACATCTAGAGCATGCCTTAAAGTGGCACTGGACCCCTATGAAGAAAACAAAAAAAAAACCTGTCAGTACACTTCTACCTTTACTTTTTTGCATTACAGCCAAATGTAAATTATGTTTGGCAAAACGCTGAGAGAGCCATCACAGAGCCTGCCTTTTGGCTCTTCTACTGATTAAAGAACAGTCCTTTTTGTCTCTTCTCCAGAACACACTTTGTCTACTTAATAAAAAAGCCATCTTGATTTGCCTGACTGCAGTACATGGTAACAGTTTCTCTTCTGGCAAAATTAAAATAAGTGTTCTTCTTAAGCCCCAGTATACGCACGCGTACGGTATGCACGTGTGTACGCGGAGGTACGAGCATAACCCCACAGGGCATGTCGCGCAAAGCTCAATTTTTACGATTGCGTACGTGATGTCGCACAATAAACTGCCCGGCGATGGACTGTTTTGTATGCAGCACCAATGTATTAAATTCCCCTTCTTCATCCCTGAGCTGGCATTTTCTTTTTTTTTTTTTTTTTTGCCAAAAGGCACGTGATCTCTTCCTCCTCTGTTGATGCCATGACTGAAATGGTGAGAAATGAAGGAATTTGTCACGTGATAATTAAAATCAGGTCCAGCGTGGCTGCGGGAGTTTTTTTCCCCGACCTGTCAATCAATCCAGTAGGCGTGTCTGCAAATGACCAATCGGTGACCTCAATTTGTCCCAAAGGTAAACGCCCCTTGTCTGCAAAGCTGCTCTGCAGCCGCTCAGGGTGTACGCTCGAGTATGAAATCTGAACCCTCTGCGTACAGTATGCGCGTACGTATGCGTGGACGGACGGACGCAGAATTATACTGGGAGCTTTAGTACAGACTTTTTCTATTTTTCTATTCATTCAATAGAAATGTTCAGGGTCATGGGGGTGGGGGCATGAGCCAATCTCAGCAGTCACTGGATAAGAGGTGGTGAATATCCTGGACAGTAAGCCAATTCAATTGCAATGTGTAGTGTGTGTGTGTGTGTGAGTTGGTATGCTTTGTTTAATCCACGAGGAGTTTGAAAGATGAAGAGGAATTTAAAACATGCGGCATACTGGAGTTGTGTACCTGGATCTCATTAGGGTTATTTGTTGTGTCTTCAGACTCAGTTGGTATATTTCTGTGCTTTTATTTTTCTTGAGAAGAGCCGATTGATTGACATCTCAGCAATGGATAAAGGATCAGAGGTGAATTTTGTGGTTGTCGGGGTTTGTGTGTTTGAAAGTATTGAGTGATATTTCTGCCTTATTTAGAGAGGTTGTGGTGAAATTGGCTTTACACAACATAAATGATAAAAAACACACACCCAGGAGAGAGCTGCTCACTCATTCACTATCAACATGGCATCCAAAAAAGGTGTACTGGAATAAAAATGCAAACAATTAGTAATTTATGGTACTTTTGTTTAAATAGCATAATTGTAATTTTATATAAATGAGGAATCAGTTGATGGATTTAATTGTGGCTACTTGTTACGACATGCAAAGCTAATTTGACAGCAAAGTTTAAACTTCATCTGCACACTGTCTTCTTTTCCAGGGTCTCGTCTTCGCCAAGAAGACACCCCTCCCCGCATTGTGGAGCACCCCTCGGACCTCATTGTGTCCAAAGGGGAGCCAGCCACTCTCAACTGTAAGGCAGAGGGCCGTCCAATCCCAACGGTGGAATGGTACAAAGATGGTGAGCGCGTTGAGACAGACAGAGACAACCCCCGCTCCCATCGTATGTTGCTACCCAGCGGCTCCCTCTTTTTTCTGCGTATCATCCATGGACGACGGAGCAAGCCGGATGATGGCAGCTATGTTTGTGTGGCTCGAAACTATCTGGGCCAAGCAATTAGTCACAATGCATCCCTGGAAGTAGCCAGTAAGTACTGTTTTATGCGTTGGTGTGGATGAAAGTATAGTAAAGTGTGTACAATGGGTAATGCACCAAACATACAAATGGAACTAACAAAAATGTGAAGGTACAATCTACCTGCATGAGCATATGTTGCAAGAAACTGAGCACAAGATGTGTGTAAGATGTAAACACTTATTTGTTGCCTTTGGATTACTTTACTATCCAGTTTTTGGACTGAAAAGTTGGTGGAATATCATTTTTAGACACGCTGCAGTGTATGTCTGCTTCATTCCTGAGTTTTTAATAAGAGATGAGTGCATCCGAACTGAGAACAGTCCTGCTGAATCATAATCTTGCAAAATTGTGAGATGTTGCAAGTTGAATAGACTTTATCTAACACCAGAATCACGTTGCATGTAGTATTACCATGTGTATGTCTTTCTACAGAGGTCAGAGTAGAGGTCAAAAAGTAAAAGGTCTGCATACAGTACCAGTAGAAATGTGAACCACTGAGTGCAAGTTTTTCAAATTCAGAAACAATGGGATTAATCCAGATAATAACATGCACACAGAAGGCACTGATTGAAGGAGGTGTCAGTGACAAAGGTTAACAGCTCGAGCAATCCTTTAACAATCTGCATAACTCCTCATGAGTTACTGCTGAACCGCCGCTTGGATTAGCTTTGTCAGCTTCCGTTGCTCTACTTGGTCTCAGTCTCCTGGGCATGCATCAAGGTTTTAGAATAACAATACCCCTACAGTAAGAGTTTTACCTTTTGAATCATAATGAAGGGAATGGTCAAACTGTATCAAAGTAATGCCAGATCAGCACTTCTACTTTAGAAGCTAAGACCTCTGGTGGAAGAGTTTATTACTTGTAGTTCGTAAAATTTACAGCCCAGTTTTAAAGTCAAGAGGGGGGAATGTGGAAGACTTTTGGAACCTGCCTGAATGACTTATGTTTTTGTACTTCAGCCTTCCGAGTTCACACAGATTCATGGGTCACCCTGGGGCAAGTGGTAAACAAGAAGGTATTTGGCAAAAGCTAATGAGGAGGAGCAAAATGAGGACTTAACTCAGTTGTGGGTAGATGTGTTGTTTTGCATAGACATGACATCTATACATGTAGTATCATCAATCTAACGTCGAGCTACATCAGTGTTGGTTGTCACTCCAAAAATGTCTTCAGCACTCTGTGCAACCATGCTCCAATGATGGAGCAGACGCTTGGCTGGCAACACAGTTTCAGGATATCACATTTTTGCAGTATGACAGATCAGTCATGCAACTACAGTGAATATAAAAATGTCTACACACTCCTATTTGACTGACAGGTTTCAGTAACTCAACAAATGACACAAAGAAAAAAAATGAAACATTCAAACAGTTTTCCACCATTATTGCAACATACTGTATACCATGTACAATTAAGAAAAAAAAAATGCAGGGAAAATAAATATATACCATATTAAATAAATGGTGGTTGCACAAGTGTGCACACTCAAAATTAATAGTTTGTTAAAGCTTATTTTAGTTTAATTCTTAGACATTATTCTTAGGAAGGAGTTATTTAGCAGAACACACCTTGACTTGGTTGTATTTGTGCAGTTTTTCTTGCAAACATGCTCAAAATCTCTCAGAGGTTTATAGAAACAATGACATGGCAGCATCTATCACTTTGTACCTTAGAAACCAGACCAGAGATCAATGGAGCTGTTTTTACCAGGTTTATTTATTTATTTATTTGTCTATTGCATCTGTCTCTGGTTGACTCTTTAGTCATGCTAAGAATACCTTTTCTATACCTCTTCTATTATGAAAGTGTTGTGGAAATTATGTGTGAGGAATGGTAAGGGAGTGTAAGGATATTTCAGAAATATTGTTCAAAATCTTGAGCCCATTGAAATAAAGTAAAAAAAATAATAAAATACATAAATGGATCAGTATATGGATCAGAGCCTCTTTATCACAACAAAATGCTCAAAGTGGCTAAATGGTAGACTATTATATAAACTATTTAAATGCAACTGGCTTGTATTTGTTCACATTCATTAAAACATTAACTTAAGCTGTACTTATTGTTAAGATTTAGTTTAACAAATGATACTATTTAAACTAGAATTAGACTTTTTATGAGAATAGATGATGCCAAACTGGAGTGAAATGCTACTTTAAAACTAAATGAATTATCTTGTCAATATTTTCTTTAATTCTTTCAAAACAGACTGTTGCTTGCAAAATTATTGTTTTCTAAAATTACATTAATTTCAGTTATACGCTCTGTGCATAATCCAATTAAAATGCTATTTTGAGTGGATATTGTAGTAAAATAGAACACATTAACTGATTTTACAGCACAGAGCAGAGCACACGTATTTTTAACACATTTTGAAGTGTTAATATCTGTTTCCAAAAATAAACATTGACAAGTCACAATAAATTAATTTGATAGTTAGTCATGATTTTACTTGTCACTTTAAATGTGATGATCTCACTGTGCCAGAAAGAAGCAACACAGCATTGACAACAATCCCTGAGAGGACTAATGACTTGATCACTTTTCGACAGACATACTGTGAAAATTAAAGTGGAAAATTTAACAAAAAGAAAGCCTTGAGTCAGTTCCACATTCATTTACTGACTGACTTATGATTTTTTTCTGCCGCTGCTACAATTTTTAACTGATGTAAGATGAGACGATGAAAAGTGAAGAGGTGGCTGACAAAAGGAAAAAGCTGAGGAGACAGAGAGGAAGCAGTATCTGTCCGTCAAAGCGGTGAAGGAAAACAAGTTGGCAGAAAATTGAGGTGACGTTGTAGAGTCAGAAACAGATGTAGTACGTGCTGGTGCCTGAAGTGTGACCACAGGGTGGAAAGACTGTGTAAAACACACAACACCGTGCATGTCCACTCACACATATGTACGCACACACCTAGTCTTGGAGCCCTTTATAAAAGTGAAAGAGATAAAATGAGAAAACAGGAAAAAAGATATATAATTCAGTTCCTTTCCAATAAATGTCACAGAAGACACTCAGCATATTTTTCTGCCTGCAGGGACCCTAGAGGACCCTGGGAAATGAACACATGTCCTATTGACCTCAGCCACTTGATTCAATCATGGAGCGCTTTATTGAGGTGAAGGCAAAGTCACAGCCTGTGTACTCTAAAGGTTATTGGATAGTAGAACAGTTTTTAGGTTCAGTAAAAGAAAGGAGTAAATGTTACTCTTAAACTAATTGGACATTGCCATTTGCTAGAGAAAAGGGAGGCTCACGTTGGGCTGAAGGTTGTGCCACAACACGACAGTGAGGAAGTAATGAGGCATGTGACACATAACCATATGGCCGTATTGTTAATCACACAACTGAATAAAATGAGAATGAGAAGTTGCCCCTGATTCTTCTGTTTGTAAAGTCAGGCAGTCTAATATAATACGAAGGGAAATTTCCACCTTGGTGGACAATAAAGTTTTATCTTTATGTCTTATATCTTTGCAGCACGGCGGATCAGTGGTTAGCACTGTTGCCTCACAGCAAGAAGGTCCTGGGTTTCAATCCCCACTTGGCCCTGGGGTCTGTCTGTGTGGAGTTTGCACGTTCTTCTCAAGCTTGCGCGGGTTTTCTCTGTGTACTCCGGTTTCCTCCCACAGACCAAAAACATGCATGTTAGGCTGCCTTCAGGCCTCCCTTGCAAAAGAGGTCTGTGATCTCAATGGGATTTGCCTGGTTAAATAAAGGTTAATAAAATAATGAATAAATCAAATAAATCTTATTTTATTTGGGATGTTATCTACCCCATTAGTCAGTAACAGCTACAATGTTAAAACTATATTAGGTACTTATGGATATATTATTTAAAGTAAAATATAAATATATAAAAAGAAAAGAAAAGTAAACAGTGTTCTAACCAACAAATTCACGCCAACCGAGTCAATAAAACCAAGAAAAGCTTTATGATAAAAGTGTGTTTTGAAAGAAGCTCTGAAAGAGGTCACTGATTCTTTTAACCTTAAAACAATCTTCTCTGTCCAAGGATCCCAGTCTATGTGTAGGCTCATGTGCTGCTAAAGGATCAGATAAATATAAGGGTTAGAGGCCACAAGAAGCCTCAACATCAATAATAAAACTTTAAAACCAAATCTAAAACATACTGGAAGTAAGTGCAAGAACCACAGATGTGATGATTTATTTTCTTGGCTCGTGTTGGAGTCTGCTCTGAGGTCTCGACGATATGAAGACAGTTTATTTAATTTTTGGTCAAAGCAAGTAAGGAAGCTGTTGCAATAGTCAAGGAACAGAGTAATAAAAACGTACACAGTAGTCCCTCGTTTATTGTGGGGAGATCCGTACACTGAAGCCCTGCGATAAGTAAAAAACAACAAAGTAGGAATAGCAATACAGGTGTTGTCGTATCTGTGCCAATACTAAGGAGCATGCTAAAATGACCTTATCAATGACTCTTCAATAGATGTGGGCTAAAAATAAAAATGCTTTTGACATTGTTTTTCAGTAAGTTAAATGATGATAACAATAAGCTTTGGTCAAGTAGAGCTTTATGCCATTTTTTCCATTTACAGTCACGCTTTTAATTTAGGACTTGAGCGTTGGCACAAAGACTATAACTGAATGGTTAGTGTCACACTTAACAATGTTGTTTCACGTCTTCGTAACAATGTGTTACTGTAATAATGAAGCCTACATGTCTAATTATGAAGTCACTAACAATTTGTGCTGTGAGAAAAACAAGGGGCCAAAGAGTTATTTGAGTTCTCTTGGAGAAAGATGGTGAACATTTGCAGTAATCACCAAGTGAGGGTGAATAAATTGCTTTGGGAGTAGCTGAATATAGTGGGTGGTGGCTGCAGTCAGAGGAGATCCTTGGCAGCTAATTCTTTTAATCACGACCTTCATTAGATACATGCGACAGAAAAGGAGAAAAACTTCAATGTGGAATGGGTTTCTATATGATCAGCATTCACTGGTGTTGCTGTATATAAAGCTACACACACAACCATTCTTTGAT